CAGATGCAGCTGGGAGGCTGAGCCTTTGCAGGCCAAGGGCTTGCCCCATGCTGCCGCAGGCTCCTACCGCTCATCTCCTGTTGCAGCGCGGGGATGAAACATCTCCTGCCCCAGCAGGCCAAACTTCCCCCGGCTATTGGGGTAAAAAAAAGCCAAGTTGGTGTGCATCCATTTGGTTAGCCTCTTGGGAATATTCAACCACCATCCCTGTTGTTTCTTATCATAGGATTTGCTGTGAGTTTGTAATTGCACGCACACGGGAAAATGCATATTATTCTTTTTGCCAGCCCCAACCCACACTGACACCCATCTTATGGTTCCTTGGCTGAACTTCTGTCCCTCTCCCCCAGCCCTGTGGCAGCCTTGCTGTGCCATGGCATTGAACCCAAGTTTCTCCATGTGCCATAGGCTTTGTGGCACAGGCCAATCCTCATCGCCATAATCCCGATGGACAGGAGTACCCTCCTGCTGCTCTGGGCCCTGGAGGACATTTGAGAGCTCTTGAGCATCATTAGCATCACCCCACTGACATTCCCCGTGGGCAAATCCACTCATTACTATCATTTCCACCATGTCACTGCCAGGGCTGAGACACAGCCCAGCATGTCTGCAACATCACCACATCCGTGTTTAACGGAACTTGCAATATTTGAAATTAAATGATCCCTTGGGATTTGACGTGGCTCTTAAAATTTTCGTGGGGAAAGAGAGGATGCTTCCACCTGTCCCCCACTCAAAGCTGAGAAGAAAAGGGAGGAGCAGAAGAAGAAGGAAACGAAAGGCTTATTTTCCATTGGAAGAATGCAGTGAGTATAGTAGGGATGTAGCCAATCATAATAAAACAAAACACAATTTAGAAAATTTTTAAGTGGTGGCCAAAATGAACAATCCATGACGCAAAGACAAAGGGCAGGTAATCAGATGCCTGACAAATTTCCCTTTTGGTTTCAGCTGCTGTCAGGAGGTTTCTGGGGGAACATGGTCTGTGCTTTGCTGCACGTATCACTGCACCAAGAGCAGGATTTGCTCCCATGAGTAAAGATGGTCAGGACATAAAACAAGAAACCTCTAGGGAGAATAACAGACTGAAGGGGACCACTGCAAGCAGTGCCTTGGCATCAAGGCAACCCGTGAAGGCGATCCCTCCATGCCAGTAACACAGTGGTACCCTGGTGAGAGGCAGAGTGAGAGGCTGCTGGGGTGACATCTGTGATGGGAGGCTGATGGCAGCGCTCATCACCTTCATGGAGGCATTAAAACCCTGAGACATCTCTGAAGGCATTCTTAGCAAGAACCAAGCTGAGCAGTTGCCATTTTCACTCAGGTTCAAGCAGTGTTTCCTAACCAACTAAATTTTGCCTTCAAATGCAATGAATTATGAAATGCACCTCAATTTCTGCTCTGATCTGGAGCTTCTCTGTGCATTACTGAAGAGCTGCAAGCTGCAGCCCCAAAAGCCGCTGTTGCTGGGCAGCTCTGGAGCTCAGCCCTGCATTGTTTACCAAGCTCAGTGAGATCCTTTCTGGCTGGTCACATACAGGTGCCAAATGTTCATGTCATATTAGCTCATGCACAACCACAAAAGCACTCCAGCATACAGTGCAACATGTTTGGTCCAGCACAGCGAGGCCATGCAGCTCCCACACCTCAGTGGTCTCCACCCTGCAGCCTGACCCAGATGCCTGAGCCTCCCTCCTTATCCCCACAGAAAACAGTGAGCAACGAAAACCAAACAGGCCAGCTCCAAGTGCTCATTATTAGAAGCCCATCAGTTAAATAAGCCACGGCAGATACTCTGCCATCCTGCAACATGAATGCAATCCCAAGGTAATTTCTGACGAAAACCATATGTTTGTACTAGGTCTGTTCAGGCTGGTTCAGATTAAATACAAACCACTGCCAATCGTATTACCTCATTATTAGCAGACACTGGCAGCAGCCTTGTGTGGAGAAGCGTCTGTCTGGCCACAGTACCTGCTGTAACATCAGGTACCTGGGGATGTGCAGGAGGATTACTGCCTCTCCCCTGGCTTTCCTGGCCCTGGGGACTCATCCTTAAGTGGGGCCTTTCATCCAGCTGAGCTCCCCACCCCCCCAGTACTGTGCCAAAGCCTTGGAAAAATTCAGCAGCCCCCAAGAAGAGTATACAGGAGGCAGGGTAACGCTGTCCCTGGGATCGCAGGGCACGCACAACACCCCCCGGAGCTCACTGGGTTCAAGCCCTGCTACTGAATAATGTTCTCACACAGTGGGAGAGGAAGGAGGAAGCTATTGCTGGTTCTCACTGTGTATTTCAAGCTAAAACATGGAAAAAAAGTCTGAATATGACAAGACAACATTCCGAGACAATCCACTGGAGAAGTAGCCATAAGCTACGTAATATTAATTCAATCTGTATAGCATTAATTCAATTTGCAGGCAAGGTAAATCTTGCACATAATATTCCCCTATTCACTCAGTGCCTAAGGAATTTCCCATTACCCAGTCTTGTTTTAGCGTCTGGCCCATTTGACCTTCACATTTCACAGATTTGGTCCCATTTCACCATTTGGTCCCATCCCCAAATGTCCTGCCCAAATCACTGCAACAGCAGGCAGCTGAGACACAGGACCCAGAACAGGACCCAGCACCCCTGGACTGAATCTTTGGACCTGTAGTAACTGTTGAGCTGGAAGATGGAAGATCACTCCCCATCTTGGCAGAAAACACACCGAGCTTTCTGAAAGACCTCCAACAGGAATTTAACACCTTCCATCTGCAGCCCATTACTCTACATTTTAACTCCACCTCTCGGCTTACAGGTCCCTGCACACTAGGAGTGTACAAGGAGGAGTGCCAAAGTCTCCAGTCTGTGAGACTGAGAGTCAGGGAATAACTGGAGATGAATCAGAACTGGCAGCCAAGTCCACAGCACTCTTTTTCCAAAAAAACACAGAGTTTTAGTAAAAGACCCCATGAATTGGCACCACACTGAGTCTGGCCTTTGCAAAGTCTAAAGAGAAATCACCTGGTCTGCTAGGAAAGGCCAGAACATAACAAGGTGCAAACAATCATTTCTGGAGAAAATGCTTTTAAAAGTGATGTTTTTTTAAATATTTTTTTTTGGGGTCTTTTCTTTCAGGAATGAGATCACTTCAACAACTGATCATCTCCATCCGCCAGATTTTGCATTATTTGCTCTCCCTGCCTAGGAGAGCCTCTAAACACCCTCGAGGAGGTTGTCACCCTTCCTCTGCCTGATGAATACAGTTGTACCCTGCATCTCACAGGGGTATTCAATTCTGATGTCTCCAGGGAAATTGGAGCTGACACCACCTCCCATGGACTCTGCTCTTCAGTGGTCTCCCAAGGATGCCAGTGTCACATCAGCATGCTGTGCATCCCCCCTCAGACCAGGTCTGCACCCAGTGTGCTTTGCTTTGGCATTATTTCATTTACCTTTCCTCAGTTTTTCCACCCTGCTACATCTGCCTGTAGAAGGGAGGGAGGAGGCTGGATTTGTAGCCCAGCCTCCTTGCACCAGGAAGGTTTCCCTTTCTGCTCTGACCAAGGACATTTTAAAGACAGCCCGCTTGTTGCGATCAGCTCTGATTGTAGCTTTGCAGCAGTTAAAAAGTCCCCCCTGGCTCCATCATCCTGATGCTGCATTTCTCAGCTCCCGTTAATGGTGGGTTCTGTTTCTTTTATTACCTCTTTGTAATCGTTCAAGGAGCTCTCACAGCAGGACTTTGTTCAAAATTATTCCACCCTTCTAAACTTCTCTTTCAAAACCCAGCAACACTTCATTACGACACAGCACAGCTCCCATCCACAGCATCTTTTACTTGCAAGAAGCAGTGAGGCCATAGGACCATGCTGCTTTGTTGGGTGCCCAGGTCATGTCCCAGGAAGCATCACTGGGCCAGGTGCTGCCCAGGAACAAGCACAGAAAGGTTACAATGGTCTTGCAAAAGAACATTTTCAGCTTTGCAGAGAAAGGTTGGCAAAGCTGCTTTATCTTCTTCTAACTAAGAGCCAGGTCCTGCACTTTGGCCACAACAACCCCATGCAATGCTACAGGCCTGGGCAGAGTGGCTGGAAAGCTGTGCAGAGAATCTGGGGGTGCTGGTTGGTGTTCACCTGAACATGACCTGCATTGAGCCCAGGTGGCCAAGAAGGTCAATGGCATCCTGGCTTGTGTCAGGAATAGTGCAGCCAGCAGGACCAGGGAGGTGATCATCCTCCTGTACTCCGCGCTGGTGAGGCCGCACCTTTACTGCTGTGTTCAGCTTTGGGCCCCTCACTACAAGAAGGACATCAAAGCCCTGGAGCATGTCCAGAGAAAGGCTACGAAGCTGGTGACGGGTCTGGAACACAAGTCCTGTGAGGAACGGCTGAGGGAACTGGGGGTGTTTAGTAAGGGGAAAAGAAGGCTCAGGGGAGGCCTCATTACACTCTGCAACTACCTGAAAGGAGGGTGTGGGGAGCTGGGGGTCAGCCTCTTCTTGCAGATACTTAGTGATAGGACTAGAGGGAATGGCCTCAATTTGTGCCAGGGTAGGTTCAGGTTGGAAAATGGGAGACATTTCTTCTCAGAAAGAGCAGTCAGGCATTGAACGGGTTGCCCAGAAAGGTGATGGAGTCACCGTCCCTGGAGGTGTTCAAGGAAAGGTTGGACATGGTGTGTAGGGACATGTTTTTTTAGTGGGTGACATTGGTGGTAGGGTGATGGTTGGATGAGATGATCTCAGAGGTCTTTTCCAACCCCAATGATTCTACGGCTCAATGGTTCAAGGTTTGGTCAAGGTGAGTCAAGGGTTGCCTGAGAGGCAGGTGTATGTACAGGAGGTGGATGGCTCGTGCTCATCTTTACTTGTAGTGAATGGCAACACCTCACCCAAGCATCCACCCAAGACGTTCCTTAGTGACCATGAGCTCTCTGAGCCCCACACATGGGCTGCAACGCACTGGGAAAGCCACCCTGTGCTGGTAACAGAGAAGAACAAAGAGTGAGTACTCACCGTCCATGTCGAGGCGTTGCATGATAATCGCCAGCTCCACCTCACTGGGCATATATCCCAACGAGCGCATCGCCATGCCCAGCTCCTGCTTGGATATAAAGCCATTCCCATCTCTATCCAGCACCCGGAAAGCTTCACGGATTTCTGCAATGGAGAGGGAAGAAGAGTTATTATGGTGGATGACTTCCTGGTCAATGTACCTGTGCACAGGGGACAAAGCAGCAGCATATATTGCATATATATATTTTTAATGTTGATGTGACATATTTGATAATTTTGAGTCAAGGTAATCATATGTTCATTGGTGCATACACTCACATTGTATGCAGATAGATATATACAACAGCATCAACACTCACACTACTTATTTTCTGAGCAAATTTATGTATTCATTCCACGTTGATCTCCTTTCCTTTCTGAAGCATCTGCCCCCAGAGCCATCCTGCTCTGAAGGAAAGCCCCCCTGCACACCCCAGCCCCAGGGGCTTCTCCAGCAGCCCTTCTCCAAGCTGCTCAGCATGCCTGCAAGACAAAATTACTGTACATCATACCAGGCCCTGACATTTCCTACAAAACTATGTGCACAGCAGCAGTTGGGTGCCGACTGCCTTCCCTGAGAGGTGCAGGGCTCTGCAACTGAGTCCTCCTTTGCCCCAAAAATGCAGGTGTACATCTTTTAAAGTGTACCAGGGCATTCTCCATCTCTGCCTCCTCTTCCTAGCTCCTCTCTAATTTACAACTGTTTCAGCAATAAACAGCCTCAGATCAATAAAATGCTGACAGTGTCAAAGGAATCACTTCCATCATTCTTCCTCAGCCTGGCTCAGATTCTGACATCTGACTTTGTTTTGATTCCTAATTCTGGTGTGTTCCCCTCCTTCCCCCCCTCCTCAGCATTTAATATCTGTTCTCCCCTTGCATACCCCTGTGAATGACCACACGAGTCTGCCACCTCAACAGCTCCGTACCTTTCCCACTGCTCACAGGTCTCTTAACTTGAAGACCACCACTGAGCTCCCCATATAAAGTGGCTTTGACTTGCAAATGCCAAGCAGAGCACTTTGAACATTTTGGCCAGCTGGGAGCATGTTTACTTGAGAATATTTGGTTGGAGGTGGGGAGAGAAAAAGGCACTGAATTGTTCGTTTTGGTTAAATGGTCTCTGCATCATGCTGTGGAGAGGAAAACACAAGATGCCTTATTATTACATCCTTTGAGAAGAAAGTCAACAATTAATTGGTTTGGCAACCACACGTCAGTCAGCCCTTCATGACCTTTGCTGCGATATGTTTATTACTAGTTATTTAAGGTATTGTCCGCCTACCTATCGCAGGCACTGCCTGCAAAAAAGAGCAGCTCATCAGTGCAGAGGTGCCTCCACCACAGCCCCTCCCAGCAATAAAACCTGCACAGCCCTGGGGCAAACATGAGTGAAGTCTCATGGATGCTGGGACAAATTATCACCTGGAGATGTCCTTACCCCCTCCACAGACTGTGCCTCCCAGGTGAGATACACAGCCCCTGTCCCATGCTAAGACAGAGGCTGTGGAAATCCCACTGCTGGAGAGTGTATTGGGAGAGATGAAGGGTGGTCAAGAGGCAGCAGAGAATGAGGATGTGTGGGAAACCACCATGTGGGGCTCTCTGCAGCTTTGCTCAGAGGAGTTTAGCATTCACGTGAAAGCATCTCATTGGAGAAGTAGGAGGGAAAGCTTAGCAGGTTTTGCAGGAGAATAAAACTAAAAAATAATGTATTCTTTACCAGAAAACAGATCGGATGAAAAATGCCTGACCAGCTCTGGGTAGGTCAGGCATTAAGCCTCAGAGACAAGAAAACATTCTTGGTCCTGCCATGGAGTCCATCACACCACCTCCCTCTGTTCCCCAGCGATAACGGAGGGATGCTCTTTGGTCTTCATGGGAAAAAGCTGGAAGCTTCCTAGAGCACCAGGAAATTACTTCAGTGATGTGTTTGCTACCACCTTATTTAAAACTTTACAATCTAAAGGCTGCTTCTCAATCACCTCCCATCAAAGTTCACCACCTCCCTTGAAGACTCCAGTGCCTTAGCAAAGTCTATGTCAATTCATGTAAGCTGCTCTCTGTTATGTGCAACACCCTGGTGATGTGCCATGGCCAGGGTACCTCTGTGACGTCCTGCTAAATCTTCATCATAGCTGTGGTTATCAGGATGAGCTATGATCAATGTTTAATCCAGCAAAAGAGCCCACTGATGCACAAAGGGTAAATCCTATTACTTTCAGTGCATATTGTGCCAGATCTGCAATATCTACACTTTGGGTGCAGGTATGCATCAGCTGTGACTCCCTTAAACTTAAACATTTGCCTGGATCCACTTTGTCTCCCTGCCAGCCCAAGCAGTGTAAGCTCAGCGATATGAAAAGGTGGTGAGGCTGCTCAAAGCAGGCTCGTCTGGAAGTATCGGTACATAATGCAGAGAGCCTTTGGAGTAGGAACAAATCCCATTAGACACTGCCAGCTGTAGTGAAATCTATTTTCATATGATGTGCTGAAAGCTAAAGTGCAGTAAATATTACATTGAAATCAATTAATTTTAAAATAAACTTCTGACAGCTGAAGATGAAAACTAAAAATACTGCAGGGAGCTGAGAAAGTGTTTTAGAAAATAAAATAAGAGTCTACCTTCAGAAAAGTTTACACACAATTTAGACTGATCCAAATTATATGAATAAATTACATCTGTACAGGAGCTTCTCAGTAGGATATCTGAGTTTCAGTTTAGCAAGCATTCTCTCCAGATACACCAATTTCAGAAGTTGCATTTAACAGCACAACAAAATTTGAAGCTTGTTTGGAGGAAAAAAAAAAAACAAACAAAAACCAAACAAACAAAACACATTAGAGTTCTAGCTCTGCTCCATGCCTTCCAGAAACGTGAACTCTTGACAAAACCTGAAACAGCCTTCACACACCAACTCCTGACCCCAAATGGAGCTTTTTTTTTTTTCTTCACAAAGTCTATAAATACCACTTGTGCAGAGGTATATTTGAAGAGCTATTTATAGGTTGAACACACTGTACACGAAGCAGCTACGACCTCACAGTGCCTCCTCTTTATCTTTACATGTACCACCACCTCCTTATCAGCTTTTCTTTATAGTGATTCCTGCTCCTCCGACATACTTGCAGGCACTGCCCTGAACGGCATCCAGCACATGAGCGACCAGGCTGAGCATCCTCCTCAAACACAGCCCTGCCAGCGCTGCTGTAAAGCCGTCCCACACCACAGTCCATGAACCTGCGGCACCCTGTCTGGTCCTCACCTTTATTTCCAGCTGTTAAATTTCATTACCCAAAGCTAAAAATACATCAGCACTTTCCCCATATGACTTTTCCAAATAAGTCACCATAGCAACTGATGCTCCTGTCTCAGAACTGGGCGCGGATGTGGTCCAGTGGAGTAAATCTCTCAACAAAGATACTGCCTGGCTTGGGAGAAAGTTTGAGACCTCTGCCATTTCTGCTGCCAGCTGCTCTGCATGGGGATGCTTTACTCTGATCAGGAAAAACAAAGCTCTGTTTTGTCTTTTAAAGGAAGAGTAAAGACAAGAGGGGAGGGGGGATTGGGTGCCATAGTGATGCTGCTCCAGCAGCCCAGCCTGGATGGCAGCAGCCCTGAGCATGTACACCTGGATTACTCCTCCCTTGGGGCATTAGTAAATACCTATTCCCCACTTCACTATAGAGCATCTCCTTCTACTCTTGTATATAGGAAGTTGACACAGAACTATCTTAATGGGTAAAGAGAAAAAAAAAAAAGAGAGAGAGAGAGAGAGAAAATATAGAAAGAATTAGAAAACAGGAAGCCCAGTTTCCTGCATGAGCCCCAGGTATCATTACTTCTCAAGGAGCTCAGCCTAGCCCCTGAGTGCTCTTCTCCATGCCTCAATTTCTCCAGCCCCTGGGAACAGCAATACTGCTCTTCAGTACAAGGTGATTTCAATATAAAAATGCTCAGACAACAGGAAGCAACCATTAGGAGCACAAAACCGTCTCCCTCCCAGAATTAAATCAAATACCACCAGCGAATGACACTACTGCTGAGACACAGACTGTCCGATGGACCATGTGTGATGTATAACGCTGAGCAGTGTTCAGGTGAACAAGGGAGAGCAGGGATCAGCATCGGCTTCATCCTGATTAACTTCTTCAATAATGATCTCATAGAGGGGGTGGACACAACATTAATTCGATTTCCAGGTGGCAAGAGTTTCCAGGTGGCAAGAGTTGCCAGGACAATAAGCCAAGCAAGGACACAGTGCTGTGTGAGCTGAGAGCAGAAGGGCAATCACCTGGGAGTCAACGGGGCAAAGACGGGGATGGGGTACCTCCACTGTAGGGAGCACTGGTGGGACCTGTGCTGCTTGTCCACTGATGGAGATCAGTCCCTTATAAGGCTCCTTTCAAGCTTCCTTAGGAACTAAAGAAGGAAACGTTTCCATTTCCTGGCTGCTCCAAGGAAAATGAGCAAATCCAGCCAAAATATCCTGCAAAGAAAGCCTGGCTCCATAACCTCTCATAGCTTTTGGAGGACTCGGGTGCCTTGTTCACCTCCTGTGAGTTGGGTTTGCAGGCATTGTTCTCAGAGAACTTCAGCCCAGTGTTTCTCTTCAGGCAGCTGGACATGCAGCACTCATTTCCCAGTTATTTGAGCATTCAAAAGCTGTGCGTCAAGGGGTTGCTTTTGACTAATACCCCTTCTTTCATCCCATTTAGCAGCTGCACCTTCAAGCACCCCTATTATGGGGAAATCAGTTACCCTCACACTTGTCTAGGATGAAAGAAGGGAAGAATCGGGGAAAGGAAGATTTTTTTTTTCTAATTACCTCTCTGAAGGGCATGAAAGAAGACCACCGTTGGAGTCAGACCTGACATCCAGTATAGCAAGTTGTTAACTCTCTGCATCCAGCAAGACCCAAAGACAACATCCTCATCCACCCACTCTTTCCAGCACACTGCCCTTCAAAACAGCTTTCCACAATCACAGCAGCTTTGGGTGTGCAGGAGGTGACCTTGCGCTCTCCTTCCAACCTCCCCAGCTCATCCCTTCTTGAAGTTCAGTAGCAGCTTTATTTACTGATGATTTCCCTGCGACTGGTAAC